GCATCTAACTTCACCTTTTAGGCTAGACATTGATCAAGTGCAGCATTCGTAGCCCACACTACAGTTTAACAGACAACTAAAACCAAGGGGTCTATGCTATTAAAAGCAGCATGAACTATTGTAAGAGGTCATTATCCAAACTGATAAAAAATTCTTGGCTATTTATCTTTAGAAAAGGCTACATATAAAATTCATACACCATTTAAATGCAACTAATCTATCAGCATGCATTTATTAAACACCCAACAGCAAAACTGATTTCCCAATGAACTAGGATAGCCTCACCATGCTAAAAGACAAAGATTATTCTCTGAAGGCTTTGTACTCCAACAACCACAGACATCTTCAGGAGAGGAAACCACAAGGTCAGTGATGCAGCTTGGAGTTGGTTTTGACCATTACAGCAAAACAGTTTCGTCCACCCACCTGAGCCTAGATTATGAGATGTGGCCACCTAAATAATATTAAAATTTGTAAATAATCTTCATAGCTTTTCAGAAAATGCTTGATCAAGTTAAGCCAAGTTGATCAAGTTGTAAGAATAATAATTCTGGCCTGTAGTTAGTCTTAGTGGAATTTTGAGGTAAGTATCTGAGAGAGGAGGCTTTAAACAAGTATGCCTGATGATGGAATGAAACCAAGCACTGTGACTGACTACGTGGCACTGAAAAGGCTACCTTAATGTCAAGCTTCTATCTTCAAATGACATTTCAACCCACTCCCCACAACTTATCTGATACTCATGGTTTTTTTATAAAATATGGTTGAAACAAAGAATAGGCCACTGTGTTTACATAGAGTAAAACATCCCAAAGATGTGAAAAAAAAAAAAAAAATCAAGTATAAAATAGTTTCTCGATCTCAACTTGCTTGCCTGTGTCTCTGATCTTCAACTATATGCTACTCTTACTTTTCAATAACTCTTACCTGCACTAGCAGCACGTGTATTTGAATACAACAAAAACAAGAGTTTTAAAATAAAATTTGTCCTAATGCTCACTTTAAAAAAAAGAGAAAAAAAGAGAAAAAAAGAGAAAAAAAGAGAAAAAAAGAGTTGCAGCACAGCTCTTAAAAATTCAACAATATGAATCTAGAAAAGCATGAAGAAAAAGAGAAAAGGGCATCAATAACCTAAAGGATTTTCTTTTTCAAAGCTTTTAACTGTTTGGAAATTGTTTATTCTGAATACCTTATTCAGCAATTATGAAAGTGACTTCATTCCACACCTAATTTCAATTAAAATTCACCATTTTGTGTCAAACTCTTACTAACAGCGGCACTTTGTGCTTCTTAAATTTTGGAGAAAAGGGATAGAGAATGCCACTTCACATAGAGTATATCACATGCTGGCTTAATCATGTATAAATCAAATAATCTGCCAAACAAAACATTAAAACAAGATATAAGGTGCCAGTAAAGAATAAAACTGAAATGTGTATCTAATTAATTAAATTTTTCAATTAAATGCTTGTGAAACCATTGCAGCCAATTAGAGTGTGCTAGAAATATTTATCAATCTCAAGTCTTGTGAGTCTGATCAGTATGTCTCTACAACATAATACTTATATCACTATACAAGATGCCTCCTCAGAAATAATTATTTCATCTTAAATGACGCAATCCCTGGCATGCTCTGAGGAGAGGAGACAGACAAAGTGGAACTGCTTCTGGCAAGGTTAACCTGTTAAGGTGACCTTAGAATGAATATATCTTGGTAGAAAAGATTTCTGAAATGAAACTTACAAAAAGAGAGTCCTTTTAGAGAAAAAACAAGGGAGCTTCTAATCTTTCATAAGGATTTTAAAATTTAGTTTAAGAAATAAAAATGGAAATGCTTTTAAAAATGGCCTCAAATGATTCAAATAAAATTTTTAACATGAAATCATAAAAGCAATATTGATCATTTAAAACCATCTGACATTTAAACAAAGCTTCATTTTACAATTAGACCAATGTAATTCAATTTTAGACACCTACAGGTGAATTCACACTTCATTTCTTACCTTAGGGCACATAATGTACGCCAATGATAATACAGTGTGTACGTTAATGCGCAAACCACCAAGACCTGCCATCTGGAGAGCTAATGAACAATCAAGGGATCCCAAATTAAACTACAGAATTTTCCCTTAGAATCTTTAGGACAACACTGTCAAGTTCAATCTATTCACTTAGCCTCCAGAATCAATTTTTCAAACTTTATGACAGGTCTAATAGTTTCCACCTGTTTCTCTTGCTTGACTTTTGACTGGCACATTACCAGTCAGGGTGGAAATGCAGACAAAGACCCCTATTAGGCTCCGGCTGTTCCTGTACTGTGAGGTTGCTCAGCCATTAAATTAGTTCCAGCCCACTTTCTCCCTCCATGTCTTAACTTTTTGGGGTATGAAGGTTTAATGAAGTCAAAAGGAAGAGAAACAAAACTTTTGACATTCAGTTGGTGGGAAAGGTATAAGAAAATCTAAAGTCACAAAAGTTAAATGCTAAATTTGTTTGTAATTTAGTAATTAAATTTAATCTTAATCACATTCATTAAGCTCTTGAGGTGTCTGTATCACATTTTCAGCTATAACGTACTTGGTAAAATTTGTGAGACCCTATGAGAGCCTACCACGTAACAATTGCTTATTGAAATGTATGACTACATAACGACAGTATTGCAATTTTTTTTTGAGACTCATGAATGATCAATAGGTACCTATTTTTGTTCAAGCAAAGAAAATATTTTTTTTCTGAGACAGGTTTTCCTTTCACTCATAATTGGCAATTAGAAAAAACATGTCTTATGCATCTTCTAACAAATTCATATTGGGTCATTTGGAAGTATCTTAGAAACCTGACAACTTTTTTCTTCAATATAAATTACCTAATAGGTATTTGCATCAATTTCTACTGATTTATGAATTGTTATAATCTGTGAAGTCTCAAGGTACCTAGCTGAATTACAAATCACACGGATCACGTTATTCTACTATCCATGACAACAAAGTATTTACAGTAACATCAACCATAATACTTAAGACAAATATTTTAACTTATTAAAACAAAAATTTTTCTGTAAGATAAATTTTATGGTTAAAATTACAGTCTGACTAAGATCATCTTCCCAGTATAAGCTACTTAGAGCCAGAACTTCTAGTTTGTCTTACTTGAAAACCAGCTACTTAAGCTGCATCATGATGAGGGAAATCTTGAAGACCTATGTCTGTAAACACTTCATTACATTTGGACAACTTAATGTAAAAAAAAAGCAACATGAGTGTTGATCACTCTGCTGGTACAACATTTTAAAGACAAGACAGTAAACGTTCTGCAGTCACTGAGAAACAAAGACCACTTCTAATAGCACTCTTGCCTATCTTCATAATATAATCATACATAAATTTGCCAGACATGGTTCTATTTAGCTTGTGATATCTAAATAAATCCACAAAATTCTGAATTCTGTACTTCATTTTCTTGAGATGTGTGAATAATGTTACTGAGAACCACCACCAAAAACTGTCAGAGAAGAAAGGTCTTGACCTATTAAATTATCACTGTCGGTTTCTTCACAGTGCTTCTGCTTTCAATCCAGTGGGCTGAACATGCTGTGAATACTAAAAATGAAGAAGCAAATGCTACAAAGGCTTCTGTGAGATAACTCTTTTCTTTTTAGCTTCTTATTGAACTAGCACATCTGTCTGTGTCCAAAAGCCACTGCAAAATCAGTTGCAGGATAAGGACATAGATCAGAGGGAAGGGGGTGGTAAAATTAGATAGCAACATTTTTTTAACATGTGTGCACATGAGCACATATGCACACACAGAGAACAGTTTGGAATTCAAAGAAATTTGTATTTGATTCCAGTTATCTCTAAAGAGCAATATATTAGCACAAATTATAATTTGTAAATTCCTGTTTTAATTTAGCACTGTTATAATGCATCCCCATTCACAGATTTTGTGTGCATATATTCTAAAACAAATCACCTGTATCACTTTCAAGAAGCCGTATCCTGTATCACTTTCAAGAAGCCATATTCTGTAACTTATATTGATCTCACAATTTAGCCTCTCTAGCCAAGAACTAAAGCTATTAATGCTGGGTAATTAATCAGTTGCAATAACATTCAAGTTTATTTAACTGACAATGTTGATTTAAAAAAAAAAAAAAATCAAAAACAATGTTCCTGAGGTTATTTTCAACAGTAAAATGTATCAATTTCTGCAGATAAATTAACACTGAAACTCAAAAGTAGCTGACAAGAAAAGTTATAGCTTTAGAATAATCTGTCCTGAAGAGCAACAACTTCCCAAAGACAGTAGTTTTCATGGCACTATTTTATTAAACATAACAGTATAGTCTTTGTACATAGACTCCAATCTAAGATTTAGTAACTGTGAATTTCATATAGCTTAATCCCATTCAAAATTCTAACGAACTACCTTCTCAAAGGTATCCCACCACTCGTTCACAAGGGTCATCTGTATGATGATGAAAGAATGTGTAGCAGAACGCTATTGGTTTAAAAAAAAAAAACTAAACAAACCACTAAAGAGCATATTAATGAAATATTCAGTAAAAGGAATAAAAGAAATCAGTAATGTTAAAATTAAGGCCACAATCTTTGGTATCACTTTTGTCAAGTGACTAGCTTAGAAAACAACTTGTACTAATCTTCTAAATATGCATACTTAACACCTTAAACTTTCCTGTGCAAGAGGAATAATGATTTAACTCCAATGTAAAGCAAAAAGTTGGCACACTCAAATTTTCCCACGCTTTTTGGTTCAGTATTTTATACATTATTAACAAACATTATTTGAACATAAAGGTGTCTACTTTGCATCCCATCTAGAAGATAAGTTGTTGGGGTTTTTTTTATTGCTCTTCAACTAGCTTGTAGGCAGCAATTAAAAGAAAGATAAAAAAGGCCCTTTATGAACGTTGTGTGTTACTACAATTGTGAACTGTGGATCAGAAAGCTTATTCGGTATGGTCGAGATCACTATCTTACCCATCTAGAAGATCCATTGTTGTAGTGGTAACTTCAGTAAAAAGAAGAATCTTTCCAAGCTTCTTTGTTTGAAGATTCTCTTGATATGTCTTCAGGCTGAAATGTTCTGATGAAAAGCTTCCCATGTCAGTGATGACTGGTATGAGAGATGGTGCTATCTCCATTTTTGATTCACAGGATGAAACAAATTTAAGAGACACCTTGCTGGATGCTCTTAATCCTTCCGCATTTACACTTCCTTCGAGCCATTTCAGAAAAGCGAGGTGGATATCCTGTAGGCAAGGGAAATAAAATAAGGCCTAAAAATAAGGACCACCACATGTGAAGACATATAAACATGTTTCTGGGAACATTTTTATTCAAGCAATCATCTTCTACTTCAAGATAGAAAAATTACCTCAATTCCCTCTTCAAAGATAAACTTCTGCTGCTTGTTCTAATCTAGCCTGGCCTGACTACTTGATACTGTCTTCCCAGACTTTAGACCATGCTCCTTGGCAACTTAATTAGGCTTAATCTTTCCC